ATTTGTTGGTTTTTAAAAGATAAGGTGCTTTTCAAACCCACTGATTAGAAAATTAACAAATTAAAACAATGCTCCATAATCTAACCACACCAATTGTTGTTGTTGTTTTACTTTTTTATTCAAACTTTTTAATGTGACATGTAGAACGAAGTGATTTTGATGAAATGTCATGATTTTAAGCTAGGATTTGGTGATTTTTCCTGATCAAACGGCAATTCACAGATGATTTATTTAACAACTATCTGGAAGTTGAAAATCCAAAGATTTTTTTTAAGTTTTTACAGTTTCTGGCTCTGATGAATGGTGGAATATTTTTTTGCCTTTCAAACCTGCTGGCAGGTTTTGGGCTTCATCATCATGTTGATTCATCATCAATAAATCACTGTAACCTCTAAAGTGTTATTTCTCCTTAGACTTAATTGTAGGCTGTATTACCTATATCAAATGGAGATAGTGTTGCTTTGACCAATGCACTCTAAAGAGCAAATAAAAGAAGGAGTGGAGGCAGGTTTTCTCTGATGCTCCATCTTCCTGTCAGTGCATTTGTAAAAGACAGATTCAGTAGCAGGTTTCTGCCAGCGAGCAGCGATCCACATTTAGCTCACAGATCGATAAAGTATTCATACAGTACAAAGACAGGGACGTATAGAAGGCCTTTTTGACATATCACTGCAGTTACAGTGCTGTGTGCCTGGAATGTCAATGAGGAATAAGAGGGGAAACACCCATAGAGAACCGCCATAGTGGTAGTGAAACAACAGTGAGGACGGAGAATTTAATCATTTGGAGGTTGGAATTGTTTTGGTTAAAAAAGAAAAAAAAGAAAAACATTATAGTGATATAGAAATTTAAAGTGCATATTCAAAGAGGATGACCACATTTTAAATCTTGTGTCAGTGAAATGGCTTCTTCAGTGAGAATGAACTGCACTGTGAAAGCAGGAGGTTTTAGATGGAAACCTCAGAAGAGGTTGGAGGTCTGTTGCATAAACCTGTGGCTTCCTGACCTCTACTGTCACATGTGTTTTATTTCTACTATTAGCAAGAGCTGATCTCTGGTCCACTTATAACTTTAGATGAATATGTAATGGGGCTGGTCCACACCACTTTTTAGTTTCAAACTGATTAACACAAAGAAAATTGGTTTGTTAAACTTTCAGGGGGAGAAATGTCTGTAAAAAACTGACATATTCCAGCAGCTGGGCATTAAAAAAAACACACACAAAATAATAATAATAAATTGTCATCTCATAAAAATACAATACATTTTCCACAACTGACAGTTTCTTTTCAAAGTTTTATGAGATTAAGAGTATTTTTTTTGTTTGTTTTTGTTAAATCTTTTAATGGCTAAAATGTACAAGTTTTTTTAATATATATAAAAAATGAAATTACCTATAAGATAGATAGATAAATAGATAACTGTATCAGAATAAGAATCAGAATCAGCTTTAATGGCCAAGTAAGTACACAACATAAATGGAATTTGGCTCTGGCTGTTGGTGTCGCCCTAGGAATTAGCAAGAAAAAGAATAACAATAAAGTAGAATAACTATAGAAAGAAAATAATAATAAAATAAATAACAATAATAAAAAACAAAATAAGATATGTGTAAGAATATACATATCTAGCAGAAAAAATATGAAATTGTATGAAATTATAGAAGTATATTTACAGTTTTAAGCTTGATTTTAACAAAAAGTAAATAAAATTCTATAGTTATTCCTAATTAGAAGTTTTTAATGTTTTGCAATTGTTATTATTTTTTTCACATTTTAATACATTTCAAAAACATGGAAAAATCTGTAAAACAAAAAGAAAAAAATCCATAAAGTGACATATTTTTCACATGATGTAGTATTGAGTAAATTGTTTGCTCGACAGTATCATCACTGTTCTACAATAAGTAGCTGTATAAACAGTAAAGTCGCTGCAGCATCACAAGCTGTGACAGCCAAAAATAGCAGTTTCAGGAAATCAAACGTTATAATAAATATTACTGTCAGTCATTTGTAAATGGAGGTATGCGTCATTACATTTATAGATATGTGTGGTCTTATGGTTGAGCTGTTTTTGAAAGCATCGAGCTGCACCCAGAGGTGCATGTTTCCTGCATTAGTGCTGCACGATTTTCCGATTTTTCTCTCCTGGGATGAAGCAGCAGCAGTAAACAGCAGCAGCAGCAGCAGCAGAAACCTGCACTGACTGTGAAGGCAGCATAAGGGTCAAAACCTTTTTCTAGTTTTCTCTTCTTTCATTCACAAAAGAGAGACCTGCCCACTGAAAAAAAAAAAAAAGGCAAACATGATTGTGATTTAAACACTTGAAATGATGAAAGCGCTTGGAAATTGCAAAGCAATGCAAAGCAAATGTTTAATTTTCACCTCTTTACTTAAGATTTCAACGAAATTTTGCAGAAAAAATATCTCAACGTGTACATACAGCTCAGTATGGGTGCTGGGCCCAGATAACGGCCTGCACGTAAAGGTTTCAGTGCAAGAATCACATCTATTTTCTGCAGAGCCATAGAAAAAAATGCTTTTTGTATTGTTTTATCCACTCATTTTCCAGTTTATTTATTGAAAAGACAAAACTGTCAACATTGGGGGGCGACTATAAGACAACAAAACAACATGCTAGGTCCAATTAAAGTTGATACTAATTTGATTTAATGATTTGTAATATGAGAATAAAGACAATTGAATTTTGAGACACTTGCTTCTAAACAGGGGTGCAGTATGTTGACATGATGTATGACATTATGAAGTATCTGGCAAGTAAAAGAAACATGTTGTGAAGCAAAACGGACACAGAATATTTCCAGCTTTTCAGCTTAGGAGATGAGTTTCCCTGATTCATGGCAAAGATGCACCTTCTCTTAAAGTTGTAAGAAATTTGGCATTAGTCAGGGACTATTTCTAGAGGTGGATTAATCCACATTTGGTGCTCTAGTGACTATTTGGGGCAGCAGGAAGGTGTGTGTTTGTGTTTGTAGTAATGAAGGAACATGTCAGCCGGTGCAGCGGAGCAGCTCATTGATGTGGTTTAATAGTTTTTGGACAACAGTACTGCAACTCTGTGCTGCAGAAGAATAGCAGGATTTGATAAACTCACAGCACTTGCAGCGGGATCGATACCTCGTTGCTTTTATCGACAATAAGAAAACTAAAGAATATTATCCTGCAACCAGAGCGAGTCATAGCAGATTCCAATGTGGATGAAAGCAGAGATGAACTGATGCATTATTTAACGTCTCTCTTGCTGACGATTTGTGCTGCTTCCAGAAACAGCAGAGTAGCTGCAGCGTTCCTGTGTGTAAATGTGCGTGAGGCCTCTGTGGCGAGCTTTGATTTTCACTGAGAATCTGCACTGATGTTGTTTGTCATCTCCCCTGACAGGTTGTTGCGTGTGTGTTCAGTGTAAAAATAGATATTTTCCCCATGAGATCTCTCTTTCCATTTCTTTTCCTCTCCCTGTTTTTTTTTTTTTTTTAACTTCAGTGCGAAGCTGACACAGTTTCGCTGCATAATATCACTGTGAGGTGGTTAATCCTGGCCTCTTTTCCCTCTCTGTGCCTCTCAGGATGTCAATCGTCAGCATCATTGCTAGGGAGATCTTGGACTCCCGAGGAAATCCCACTGTGGAGGTGGACCTTCGCACAGAAAAAGGTGACCACCAGTGAGCCTGTCAGCAAATATCAGCGGAAGGAAGCGGAATAATCTCCAGCTCCGGGATGCCTGCTCACACTCATCATGTCAGAAATTTGCCAAAAAGCAATATGAGAACTCAGCAGTCCGACAGTATCTCTGCTGTCCCTGTAAATTACTTCTGTCATCAAATGACCTTCATTTGACCTCCGTCAACCATCAACCAGTTCTCAGCTAAAGAAAAAACGTGTTGAAAATACAAAATTAGAAACAGGTGGTTTGCAATTCAAGGGATTATTGACCCTCTGGGCTCCCAGTAGTTTCACTCACTGTGGACTCGTTTTTCACTGCAGTATAAAGTCCTGCACCTCAATGGAAACAGCACAGTAATAGCAACATGTAGACAACTAAACGCATCTTCTTTGTAATGTGACAAATTTACAATGCCATAAATAATAACAAAGAAAAAAAAAGTGTTTATTTTACAAAAATTGAAAAGAAAAATGCTCACAGATGTTATCAATACTGGACAACAAATGCTGGCTCCACATGCCACCCATATTTCTTGTTTCTACTTTACTCTGCACACCTACTCAACAACAGATGCTTCACCATGCTGAATGTATCTTCCACCAACTTGCTCACAACTTGCTCCTCTGTTTACTGTTTTTGAGCCTTGCTGCAGCCATGCCTGCTGTTCACCTGAAAACTCCCAGAATTTTTGTCACATGACTGTAGATTGCAGCTGATTCACTAATGGCATCACAGTTGCACTGAGGAGCACAGAATTGTTTGTTTTTAACAGAAAAGAGTTAGGGCAAACAGTATATTTTTGACAAATTTTAAAAGGAGACATACACAATCAAGTGATTTTGATAAAACAGAGTTTAAAGCTTAGATTTGGTTAATTTCCTTGATGGAACCACGCATCAAACACGATTCATTCAAGGACCATTGGAATTTTTTTTTTAAGTTTCTGGACAATAAATGGCAATTTTAGCAGTTTTTTTAAAAAGAAAGAAAGTGTGCCTTTAAAACCTGCTGGTTGGTTTTGGGGTTCAAGATTAAACAATATACTACAATCGAAGAAGACAGTCTGCATGAACTGTATGTTGGTTTGTCTGTTGGTCATTACATTTAAAACTTTTTCTCTCTCTGTGTGTTTTAGGTTTGTTCAGGGCTGCGGTGCCCAGCGGAGCATCCACAGGAATCTATGAAGCTCTGGAGCTCCGAGATGGAGACAAGAGCCGCTACAAGGGCAAAGGTATGAAGACAGACCAACTGAGCATGAAGATATACATTTAACAGAAACTTAACATTGGATGAAGTAATTATGAACACAAGTGAGACAGAAAGAATCGTAGAAACGAAGCTCTGATTAATGCCACACTCATGTCATATCTTGTTTTCCACAATTACCAGCGTTGACGCCAACATCCAAGTCATGATCAGAGTGGGAAAGCTGATTTTGCTGGACGCTTTGATGATCTGTAAAGAAGTCCGAAAACAAACATTTTTAGACATTTTAAAGTCTGAATAGAGAAACAAACTCACCGGGAAATACAATAATTTAAAATCTGTGTTGGTGCAAATGACTCTTTGGTTCATTACTTTTGCCACAACATGAAAAACAGATTAATATTATGTGACTGATGAGTCTTGGTTGTAAATGTCACAAAAGGTTCCAAACTAAAGAGCTAAATGAAGCTAAAAGGGTTGATTCAGACACACGAAACACAATCAGTAGTAAAACATGTCATGACACAATTTTAGGAAAGCAAGTCGAGCTAAAGCTACTGCTTTTTAGCTACTATCTTTTCTTTGCTTGTTTGCAACTTAAAGGTTTTTCTAAATCTGCAAATTAGAATTGTTGTCTTTTAGCCAGGTCCTTGAATTAAAGACTGTACAGCTGCTGCATATTTTTTTGATTCTGTCCATCTCTGTTCTTTCTTTCTCTCCTTTAGGTGTTTTGAAGGCAGTTGGTCACATCAATGACACTCTGGGTCCAGCCCTCATAGCCTCTGTAAGTCATCAAAGCAATTATACAGTCGCAACTTGGCATTCTGACCCTTAACAATCCGAAAACCTTGCTGTCCGACAGGTTTTTAGGAAAAACGAACGGAACCCACGAAAAATAGCCTTAACTTACCGACAGCCTTTGATTCCGACTCTGACATGACACTTCATGTCACAAATAAGGATAACAGTGTATCTGACTTAATCCGACAGACTGGCTATGTTCAGGACTTAATGCTCAATTCAGATTTTTTATGGAATCTGATTTTTTTGCGAGTTGGTTCACATTTCCAATTAAATGCGACTTGTACGTGATCTGCTGTGTAAACTTCACACGACTCAAACGTGCACAGAAGAGGACACAACGACGTCACACGCAACGAGCATGCTCAGTGTTTACGGAAGTAAACATGGATGGTAATGGTGGAGCGTATCTGCTGGGGTGGAAGTGGTCCCCCCGACCGTGCCGCATATTCGGATATTCATCATTAATTGCATCTGTGTTGTTCAGACTGTCATGAAAAGACCAGATACAGGTTTCATAGGGGGAAAAAAAATCGGATTTGGGTCGTTTCAGCCTGCTGTCTGAACGAATTTGTCTTTGATGTCAACCAACGGGCCCGGGCACAATCGACCGGTCAATTAGGCGTGAAATCCAGCAATGCGTAGTGTTTTAACAATACACTAGTTATTATAACAACTATAAACAATGAATATTAACAACAAATGACCCTTCAAGCATCAAGCCCATGTATCTCAACCTCTGTCTTGACAATCCAACAGCCTTGCCATCCGACATAAAAGAAGGTTTTACATTTAGTGTCGGATTATCGACGACTGTGTATTCGTCAGTGATTATATTTAAAGATAGGATTTCACAAATCTTCTGCAAATTTGCAGCAGGCCTGAGACTGACATGTCAATGGAACAATTTTTTTCAAGTTGTCTTTCAGGTTGTGGTGGAAAGTGGTTAAGAATGTTTATTCACGTACTTTGCTTAAGAGTAATTTTGAGATTTACTACATTTCAGAGGGAAATATTGTACTTTCTACTCTACAACATTTATCTGACAGTTTTAGTGTTATATTTCACAGAACACACTTTTAAAATA